AGGTGGTTCATAGGAGATAAAAGTTTCACAGACTTTCCTGCCTGGTTGGCTTTGAACCTCCATCCTTAGATCTCAGCCTCCTTGAGTACCTCGGTTTACAGGCATGTGCCACCAGCACCCAGCCCAGAGACATAGCTGGAAGGGCATACCCTCCAAGCCTGAAACATCATCTGGCATGCACAGGCACCTCATCAATGCTACATGTCCAGCCTCACATCTGTACGCATGATGGGAAATCATTTGTCTACTGAATACGAATGATCCAGCTTTCCTTTACATCTTAGAAACCCCGACAATACCAAGAAATGTATTACAAAATCTTTCAGACAAGCCGGGCACAGGTGGCTCATGCCTGTAATCCTAGCTACTCAGGAAGCTGAGATCTGAGGATCATGGTTCAAAAAGAGCCCAGGCAGGAAAGTCTGTGAGACTCTTTTCTCCCATAAACCACCAGAAAACCAGAAGTAGTGCCATGGCTCAGGTGGTAGAGCACTAGCCTTGAGCTGAAGAGCTGAGGGACAGTGCCCAGGCCCAGAGTGCAAGCCCTACAACTGAAAAAAAAAATGTTTCAGAGATCACAGACAATGTAAAAATAAAAACCAAGAGCCCCAGGTTCAATGAGATAATGAATCTGAGGTTGTGGAGGGAGAACAAACAATAAGGAGAAGGCAACCAGAGCAAAGTAGGGGCAGGAAGCAGAGAAGATAGGGCAGGCTCACCATGACATCAAGAGGAGTCAGCTACCTGAGAGTAGCCTTATATCCTGGTTGGTGTCCAGCTGCCCACCTTCCTCACTGACTGACTGATCGAGGAGGTTGTTGGGGAGACAATGGTTGCAAAGGAAGCCTGGCTGTGGGGTCAGGACCTAATTCTGTATTCATTCAATCACAACAAAGGCCATCTAAATGCCATAACAGCCACAGCTGGACCTGGCTGCACCACAAACTTCAGCAAGCAAATGTGGTAAATGATTGAAGAAAAATGAGCTGTGCTTCCAAAATAAGTGCGAGATGATGGAGACTATTTTCCATGAGAATACTGCAAAAAGGATTTACAAAAGCTAGAAAATGAAACTGCAAACCTCATGAACCATTAAGGAGATCTTTGGGGCTTTGCCATTAAAAGCAGTATCAGAAAGCCCAGCAGAACTATGTGCTTTGTAATTAAATGCATCTAATGGCATCTAATAATTGTTCTGCCACAAATGCAACTGGCTCAAAGGAGAAGAGCTGGCTCCAGTCCTGTGGGGAGGAGGAGGAAGCCATCATAGCTCTAGGATAGCTTGCTTTACAGAAAGTCTACAAAGGACCACTTTAAATCACCAAAGGCAATTTGACCATTCTGTGGAAATCTATGAGTCTTAATGGTAACCAATGAGAGCGCTAGCCTTGAGCTGAAGAGCTGAGGGACAGCACTCAGGCCCAGAGTTCAGGCCCCATGATCGGACCCAAAAAAAAAAAAAAAAAAAAGCAAAGCAAAAAAAAAAAATTAAAAAAGGTAACCAAAGGGCAGGAAGGGGTATCTTGTAAGCTACAGGGACTGTGGGAAAGAGGTAAAAAGAAGGTAAAATTCAGCCAGGCTCTGAGAGCTGAACTTTGAGCTTTGACCCGGGGCCCTTTGGTAATTCATCTACCTAGCAGAGTACTTTTCTCCTAACTCACACAAGGGTACTGATTGTGCTAGACATGGTCCTGGGTACGGGTCACAGTGGACATGAGTTTTCAATCGTATTGACCAATCCAAATTATTGCCAATGAATACTGAACAAAAACCCTATAAATGAAGCCAGGTGCCAGTGGCTCACCCCTATAATCTTGGCTACTCAGGAGGCTGAGATCTGAGGATCACAGTTCGAAGCCATCCCAGGCAGAAAAGTCCATGAGACTCTTATCTCCAATTAACTACCAGAAAACCAGTAGTGGTGCTGTGGCTCAAGTGGTAGAGTGCTGGCCTTGAGCTGAAGAGCTCAGGGACAGTGCCCAGACGCTGCCTGAATTCAAGCCCCACAAGTGACAAACAAACCCAAAACTGAATACATCAGAAAGAGGCCCAAGTGCAGGCGCAGGGGGGAGGAGACACTGGTTTGCAGCAGTGCCCTCAGGGCACCAGTGATTGCTCTAGCAATGACAAAGTGACAACTAAAGTTTACAACTGTATTAAGTTAATGCTAATAATCTGGCATTTTATTTAGTTTTTGGCTGATTGGGTAACATTAGCCCTTAACCAAGCATTTGTGGTTTTTGTTTTGCTTTCTTTTTCCTTTTTGGGTACAGCTGTAAAATATTTGGAATTAGGAAATGTTGGATTATTCTTGCAGCCCTGATATTCAGGGTGGATTGTAAAATATAAATTTTGTGAGATTTCAAAAATTAAGATTATTTTGCTAACAATTATTTTGCTAACATTATTTACAGACGTAAAAGATGGTTATCATAAGAAAACTATTGCATAAAATAACTAACTTTAAATAAATGTTTTGCATCAGTTAAAAAAAAAAGGCTTAGTCTTGGATAATCACAAAGCTGTAAAGGGTTTGGCCTACTAAAACAAGTCTAGGCAGAATCCTAAATATTGTCCCAATCCTAAATATTTGGTTCAAAACTCTACAGAAGGTTTGGAATGTAATTTTGTCTACCTTGGCTGAATAAATCAATTTGTAACCCCTAAGTGAATAAATAGTATTATTTTTCTAAGTACACAAGTAATCATTATTTATATATACCATGCTCCATAGTATCTGTGGGTTTTTTGTTTGATTGTTTTGTTTTGTTTTGGTACATTGGTGATTGAATTCAGGGTCCTAGGCAAGCAATCTACCACTTGAGTCACACCTCAGTCTTATGCTTTGTTTTTATGTTTAAAAATTTTAGGAGGGCCGGGTGCCGGTGGCTCACACCTGTAATCCTAGCTACTCAGGAAAGTCAGTGAGACTCTTATCTCCAATAAATCACTAGACAACCAGAAGTGGCGCTGTGGCTCAAGTGGTAGAGCACTAGCCTTGAGCTGAAGAGCGCAGGAACAGTGCCCACGCCCAGAGTTAAAGCCCCATGACTGACCCCCCAAAAAAAATTTTTAGGAGGCTATTTAGCTTATTAAAGTTATGCATTTCACTTATTAGGAAAAGTTTAAAGGGCTTGAGAATCCCAGACATCTAAGTATGGCCTGAAATGTTTAAGAAACTAATCAACTTGCAAGTAGTATTCACTAAAGGAATTGTCATCTAGCAAATTTATAAACATTGAGGCAAAAAACAAGCAAATATGCATCTGTAATATTAACACATAACTTAAATTTTCCAATGGATTTTTTAAGGTAGTACTTAAGATTTAAAGAAAGCAAGCTTTTAAAATAATAACTGTAAGCCAGACACCAGTGACTCATGCCTATAATCCTAGCTACTCAGGAGGTTGAGATCTGAGGATCATGGTTCAAAACCAGCTTGGGCAGGGAAGTCCATGAGACTCTTATCTCCAATAAACCACTCAGAAAACCGAAGTGGAACTGTGGCTCAAGTGGTAGAGTGCTTGCCTTGAGCTGAAGAGCTGAGGGACAGCGCCCAGTCTGAGTTCAAGCCACATGACCAACAAAAAAATAAATAAAATAGTAACTTTAATAAGCTGAACTCTGACCAAAGCATAAGTAACTCAGAAGCTTCCTGATACGGTAGAATCAGAGACTAGATTCAAATTCCCCTCTGACTATTCAACTTCAGGTAAGTGAATTGAATTTTGGGGCATCAGATTCTTCATCTGGGCTAATCTTTTTCAATGGTGTGATAAATACCTGAGAGTAACACGCTCCAGGAGGAAAGGTTTATTATTTTGACTCACAGCTTCACAGGTCTTACTCTATGGCTGCGTGGGCCCTGTGGTGAGGCTGAGCATCATGGAAGACAAGACTTGACGGTGCATAGCCGCTCACTGCACACCCCCGGGAAAGCAGAGACAGGGAGGGACCAAATGCCTCTTTTTTTTTTGGTCATGGGGACTTGAACTCTGGGCCTGGGCGCTGTCCCTCAGATCTTCAGCTCAAGACTCGTGCTTTACCACTTGAGCCACAGCGCCACTTCTGACTTTTTCTGCTTATGTGGTGCTGAGCAATCGGACCCAGGGCCTCAAGCACACAAGGCAAGCATTCTACCACCACAAATGCCTCTTTAAAGACACAGCCCCAGTGACTTACATCCTTCAGCTAGGCCTCTCCTCCTAAAGTCCACCATCTCCCAAAATAGAGGCACTACCTGGGAATATGTCCCACATTAGCCTTTGAAGGAAACTTCATATCTAAACCATAACACCACCTGTAACATGAACAAATAGTATGGGCAGCAAAGCCCTTGGGAGGACTGAGTGATGGCTACCTATACCAAGTGCTCAAGCCAGTTATAGAGCCAATTACAAATGCCCTATAAACATTACTAATTATTGTGCCATTCTAAATGATACTAATTACCATCATTAGTGTCATTATTAATTGATACCATCTGTCAAGACCAAGAGCCCCTTATTGTCTGGATAGCTGCTCCCGGCGCTATGCTAATACCTAACAGTTATATAATACACATGGCCAGAGGTTTCCACTTGTAATGTCCAAAGGGAAATAACACGATAAATAGGGCAAAGGCAATGAAAAAAACACCCACCAATATTTTACATAGTCAAAAAAAATACTTGGAATGACTTTTTACTTACTTTCTCAAGCTCCATAACTGCATCATGGGAATTTCTGCTGCGGTTGGATGGTAAGAGTTGATCTAATCCTGACCCTAGGTCTAGAACTAGGAAAATTTAATATAGCATTTGAGATTCTCTCCTTCTCCCCCAATGAATTTAATCTCAAACAGTTTACTCTAGAATTAATTACTTGAACTTTTTCCAATCACCCAACCTTGTTTCTGAATTAAAGTACACACAGCCTTAACTCATTCAGTACAGGCACCCTTTTTATTTTCCATTCCTCTTGCAGTTTTCCAGCAGTTTCACCTCATCTTGCTTAATTACCAGTCCTCCAGATGGAAACTTCTCCTGGTAGCTTGTTCCACTCATGGCCATTAAGAAAGCTGTGTTTGCGTCAGACTCGGCTTTCTGGTTGGATGACAGGGCTGTTACTTCAAACCCCATTTTTCTTGGCGTCCCCCAGTCACACCTCACCGACTGTACCTAGTGCACTTGTACTAATGACCTTTCAAGGCAAAATGCTTTATCTAACTCATCAGGTTAGTGGGCTTGCCTTTTCCTGGAATATAGACCAAGTCCATGGAGGCTCCAATTCCTTCAACAGACATTCCATACCCGCAGTTACAGTAATCATGCAGTGACCAAGGGCTCTGTATGCCAGCCACTGCACTTGTATATCTTGTAAGTATTCCAAACAGAGATTGTCACTAATCCAAATTTTAAATGACAACACCAAGACTTTAAAAGGTAACTGACACACCTTGGGTTTCTAACCGCTCTTCCTTTAAAAACATTTGCATAATGGCCTAGGAAGGTGGCTCAGTGGTAGAGTGCTTGCCTTGCATGCATGAAGCCCTGGGTTCGATTCCTCAGCACCACATAAGCAGAAAAAGCCAGAAATGGCGCTGTGGCTCAAGTAGTAGAGCGCTATCCTTGAGCTGAAGAGCTGAGGGATAGCGCCAGGCCCAGAGTTAGGCCCCACAACCAACAAAAAAAAAAAAAAAAAAAACCTTGCATAGATTAGTCAGGACAGTTTTTCTTATAGTACAGGGTATATGAACCATTGTCCTCATGCTATAAGTGAAGAAATCAGGGCCTGAGCACTTGCCTAGCACACAGGATGTCCTGAGTTCAATCTCAGAATCACACACACACCACACACACACACACACACACACACACACACACACAAAGTAATAAACAATAACGGTTAAACAGCTAATAAATAAATACAAGTAGAGCTAGACACTGGTGGCTCATCCCTGTAATCTTAGCTATTCAGGAAGCTGAGATGTGAGGATTGTGGTTCAAAGCCAGCCCAGGCAGGAAGTTCATGAGACTCTTATCTCCAATTAATCACAGAAGAAGCCAGAAGCAGTGCTGTAGCTCAAGTGGTAGAGTGTTAGCCTTGAGCAAAAGAAGCTTAGGGACAGCGCCCAGGCCTACAGTTCAAGGCCCAGGATTGGGAAAGAAAGAAAGGAAAGAAGGAAAGAAAGAAGGAAGGAAGGAAGGAAGGAAGGGAGAGAGAATGAAAGAGAGAAAGAGAGAAAGAAAGAAAAAAAGAAAGAAAGAAAGAAAGAAAGAAAGAAAGAAAGAAAGAAAGAAAGAAAGAAAGAAAGAAAGAAAGGAAGAAAGGAAGGAAGGAAGGAAGGAATTAAGGAAGAATTCTGGTCTGATTAAACCTATACTTTTGATTATGTTGCAGTGTTATCTCTACAATGCAGTGAGACTTTCTGCAGAATTCCTTTCCACTCTTAGCTAAGGAAAGAACATCTGCCTGAAAGGTCTTATTTATTGCATTTTGTGCTTTGGGGTTGGACAAAAATAAAGAAAAGAAAAAGATAAGAAAGGAAGAGCTGTGGCCATCTTTCTTTCCAAATGCAGTTTAACTCTTCCATTGAACTGGCTTGACTATAGTGAACTTTGAAGAAATAGAGAATCCTTTCTAGAATATTTTTCAGTGCTTTTTGATCTCCAGTAAATTTTTGGCTTACAGGTTAATAATTCCAACTGTTTTTTGTTTGGTTTTGTCAAATCATGTGCCTTTTCTTTTTTTGTCTTAAAACCAACTTCAAGGGTTATTCAATAATACGTTAATCAGCTCAGTTTCTATTTTTCTAAGATGGGGGTATATGTGGCTCATGATGGTACCAAACTCCTGAGCTCAAGTGATTTTCCCACATCAGCTTCTCAACAACAGTGACTATAAGTACATCTCTATGCCTTTTTCTCAGCTGTTTTTATCCCCCTTTCCCCAGTTCTGGGGCTTGAACTCAAGGTCTGGGCACTGTCCCTAAGGTTTTTTGTTAAAAGCTAACACTCTACCACTTTGAGCCACAGCACCACTTCTGGTTTTCTAGGGTTTAATTGGATATAAGAGTCTCATAAACTTTCCTACCCAGTCTGGCTTTGAACCAGGATCCTCAGATCTCAGCCTCCGAGTTCCTAGAATTATAGATGTGAGCCACCAGTATTCAGATCAGCTCAGTTTTGTTTTTTTTTTTTTTCCCAGCCCTAGCTCAGTTTTGACTGATAAATATTTCTTAATGATTATATCTCTTGGGGCTGGGAAGGTGGCTCAGTGGTAGAGCGCATGCCTTGCATGCATGAGGCCCTGGGTTCGATTCCTCAGCACCACATAAGCAAAAAGAAAA